ACACCTCATAAAACCACACCTGAAGCGATAGAATAAACCCACGTATCCTATAAAGATATACTCTTTTTTCAGTGCCATCTAATTTCTGAAGCAAAGACTCCTTGTTACGAGACGACATCTTTAGATAATCAAGGGTGTAGTCGTACACCTCTTTACCCCACGGATAGTTATCACAATCTTGGCTATCAAGAATATCTAAGAAACACCTATCAAACAAAAGATTATCCTGAGCACCCATGAGAAAATTCGCGAGCAAGTGAAGCTTGGCCAGTTTCACTCCATCATGGTCATTTATCCACGCTCTATTAAGAAATAGACATTTAATAGATTGACGGTTCAAGCCAACATTGGCGAAATATCTGTCAAAAAGACCATCAGGGACGGGGGGATAACAAAGCTTTTTACATAAGCCATTACAATTTAGACCACTTATCACAGCGAACTCCTCAACCCCAAATCTCATGATCTTCCCACCAAAGTCAAACCACATTTCATCCAACCTCGGTTGGTGTACTTCTCGTAATGAAATCAAATTGACAAGTTGATTCTGAATCTTATAATGAGGTAGGTCTATAAATTTACCAAAAGCAGAATTTCTAAACACCTCCAATTGATCGTTGGATAACAAACGCTTAATGTCAGCAATAGGTGTGGTAGAACGACTGTTATCATTGCTGTTGATTATCTTCACGACCAATGCTCTTGAGTTTGGAAAAAGCAATTCCCAATCCTAATGAAAACAACAAACAATTGATACCAACAATAGCAGTAAAACATATAGAATAGATCTAACGAGTTTATACAGACATGAACATTAGTACCAACAATGGCATTATTTGCTTGTCAACATAGATAGCAACAATTTTTGTGAGGATCAACAACTAAAACAATTAAAAAAAAAATTAGACAAAATTAAAGATAAATTATATGAACACTGATACTAGGAAAAATACTTCTAAAGGAAAAAAATACCTTGTGTTCTCTTTGGTGTTTATTCCTGGCATCTTCATCTTCAAACTCGGAACAACTCGATTTATGCCTATGTGTGTTGCCCTTGGACCTCCTCAGTACTGATTTGTTAGCCTCAGAGCTATCCTCACTTTCTTCTTCATCCACAGGAACACATTGTTCAACTTCGAAATCAGAATCGATGTCATCTGGATATTTAACCTTCCTCTTCCCATTAGCATCTCCGTTTCGCTCCATAGCATTCTTCTGAGAAAATCGCTTCTTCTGAGCACTGGAACGAGTTATTGGACATCTGACATGCGAGTGTTCTCCAACACCTTTGGTCTGCACATTCTTCTTGCCAAACTGAATTTTCTTTTGAACAAGCCTCCGACGGCGCTGAACTTCAACTTTCCGATGATTTTGCTCCAGATTTCCTTCACCTCCAGATGAAGTATCAGAGACATAATTTTCATCCTCAACTTTCGCCATTAATTCATCTGCACAATTGATTTTTGGATTTTACTTTGAACAAATTAGGGAAGAATGAAGAAAAATGGTGAGCATCGACCTCAATTGAGATCTGCAATTTTTGGTATGCGTGTGGGCAGGAAACGTGTTTGAGAAGAGCCGAATCTCGAAAAATCTTGAGATACGGTTTTATTCACTTTAATTAGCACTAATTAATTAGATTCCTAAAGTGGAATTGTACATGTACTAATCTCGTATTGTCCGACCAGAGAAAAATTTAATTGCGAAGCTTTTTTTATTCTCGTTAAAAGGGCAAAATAAAAATATTTGTGCGTCCCAGGGGTAATTTTTTCATGGTTTTGTGTTATTTAATATTAATTTAAAAAGGTTGATCTATAATTGAAATTATATTGGCCTTTAGTTTTCACTCGGAGTCCAGGACACCATCTTGTGCACGTTGTGCAAATAAAATATTTAAAACTATATGTTAAATTATTAGCATATCATATTTTATAAATTTGACCATTAATAAAAATAAATAATATAAAAACAAACTATTTTACTTATATATGATTAATTATATATTGCTTAAAATATAATTAATAATGTAATTTTTACAAATATAAGTGATCGTGATCAAATAATTAGTTCAAAAAAATATTAATCTTGCATTAACAAAAACTATTTATGCAATTACAAAGGATTTGTATGAGCGTAGAACCAGTTAGCTAGTTAAACCAACCACCCTATCCCACCTCATCACCCTCTCTCTCACACACATACACACATCACACACATGCGCGCACACACACACACACATTCAGCCCTGTCTCCTCCAACCTCACACCGATGCGCCAACCAGTGCTGCCCACAACCATTGTTGGTGCCTCCGCCACCTGAATTTGTGTTCGATACACTCTCCGCCGACGACGGCTGCTCGCTCCGCCTCAAATTAAACGAGCGGCGACGAGAAAATTTTTCACGAAACCGCCTTCACTGTCGCCTACGTCCTGCGTTTGGAGCCCACCACTTTTGTCCCTTCTCTTGGACCTTGGTGTTGAAGGACGAGAGCTTCTGCATCATGCGTTTCAATGATTGTCACAGCGGAGGCGGCCACCGGAGGAGGAGGAACTAATGGAGCACATGAGTTCGGCCACTGCCTCCCATGATCGTGGAACATTAATTTATGGAAATTTATGTAAGGAAAACAAATAAAATAAATTTACCTACACTAGCAATAACAATAAGTCTTGCTTTTTTTTTTTCAAAAAAATAAAATCTCCCTTATATGTGTTCTCACTCAAATACTATGTGTCGACGTGGTATTCCATAATGAATGAGTTATACTTTATGGAAACACATCTTGTTATTTTGTGATGCAGTCTAATCGTTAGACGGATTGACTCATGAAAATATATATATATCTATAGTATCAAAAGATATACTTATTTTTCTAAGGAATGATAATTTTAAGCAATATATATATATGTGTGTGTGTATGTATATAGGATGTGATTCAAATGAGAACCAAGCCTCAGCATGAGAACTGTTTTTATTTGTACGTAATGCTATGATTGATGTGTTTTAGTGCTATTTTTAACTAGGATGTATTTTATTAAAAATAGCAACACAATTTATATTTAGTATTTGTGAAGATGATAACACCATGTAATATTAAAAACTAGTATGAGTCCCGTGCACTGCACGGGTAAGAGATATTCATTAATATTTATAAATTAAAATTTTTTTATTAAATAATATTTGTAAATTAAAAATATTGAATCAAATACCTATATTAATTTGTTGAAAATATTATATAAAGTTTAAATTGTGAAAAATTACATAAAAATGTCTATTTAAAATTAGTACACAACCCATGCGATACATATAACTGATAATAAATTACATTATATTCGTTTCAAAATAAGTGTCATTTTAAATTTTTTATTCAGAAATTCGATTTGACTATAATGTGATTACATAAAACAAATTTTTATTAAAATTTTATCATATATTTAACAACATATGTGAATAATAATTATAAATATAAAATTTATATCGTTTCATTACTTAAAATAATTTATTTTTGTATAAACTATTCAAATAAAAAAAAATTAAGTAGTTGAGTAATTTATTGAACTATAAATAATTGACTATTTCATTCATGTCCAAGTTAATATTGACCCGTAAGTTATGAATAATTGTTTTTTTTTATTTTTAATTTTAAATAAAAATATTTTTATTTTTTTATATATTATATACCAAATTTAAACTATGCAACTAATAAAGGTAATAGCTGCAAGTTTTGTCAATATATTATATTTCACATTTAAATTATTCAACAAATAAAGGTAATAGCCGCAATATTTGACCAAAATAATTTTTTACATTAATTACATTAACTTAGGCAGGATTTTTCAAACTTTGGCAAGAAAAAAGAATTGCTCAATTTAGTAATTCTGAATTTTTAGGCAGGAAAACCAAATATTATTTTATTGATTTTTAGTTACTATTTCAAGTAAATATCATTGTCTTTTTATATATTAATAGATGTCATATTTTTGTAGCGTGCTATGCCACGGGATTTCACGATTTGTTGATTATTAGATATTTAATGATAAATTGTTTGAATCAAATAATTTGTTGACATTAACGTGAAAAAAAAAGTTGAGGTTTCAGTGAATTCAAGGCTTGTTGTTTCTTTATATTTTTAACTCATATAAGTGAAGTATTACAGGAGCATAGGCCGACATATTGAGTGGATTGGCTCTATCATCCGATATAGAGTGGTTTACAGGTTGTAGTCATAAACATGTACACGTTTGGGTTTGGTATATTTAGATGTGGTAAATGTCCACATTTTGATACAGTATACATGTGGTTTAGATGTGATTTATCTGTAACTTTCGATTTTACAAACTCGATTTATATTGGTATAAATTATATTATTAATTTTGTTAAGATTCATATAATTCTATTTAATTTTTGCTTTCAGTTGCATTTTGTCTATTGTTGGTGTCATTATGTGCTAGTAAAGTAAAATTAAGGTTTATTTAAGTAAAAATGGACTAGTCCACAGTTAGCCGGATAATTTAAATATTAAACTCAATATAATAAAAAAATCAGTTACTTCAACTATGAATTCTGGATTTAAAATAAACTAATCTTTGTAAAACATAATCGATTGATTCAAATAATCCAAAAAAAAATAGAATTTTATAATTGACTTGAGTTGCACGTCTCAAATTCGTTGGTATTTTTTTCTGAAGTTTTTCTTCTTGTCCTGTTGAATGAACATAAGGATATCAGATTATTAACTTTGTAATTAAATTGATCTTTTATCTGTTGGGAATATACTGGGTATGTTGTTGTTGTTGTTGTAGTTTTGGTCACAGTAATCAATTTTTTTGTAACATTTCAGGTAGGTAAGGTTCAAGTACTAGTAACGAGCCGGATAGATATAAAGATATGATTGATAAGATTCTAATATCAAGTTAATTTCCTTCCATAACAGATTAAGAGTGTACTTTTGAAATTAAACATTGCAAAATGTATATTATTGATAATTGAAAAAGTTGGACATATATATCTAGTATGAAGTTTTATATGGTTATATATGTACTTTAGCCGTAGTTAATAGGCTTGACATATACCGACTCATATTGGGTTGTGCATGGTGGTGCTATTGGAGATGGGCTGGGCGGCCCATCATAGCACTCTGGACGGCAAGTTTGGTTCTTGCACGTGCAGCTACAGTTGGGTTGGCCACACGCTTCATTCTTCCAACAATCAATTTCGTGCGTGCAATTCACGGGTGGATGAGGAGGTGGTGCATGTCTAGCTGCTTCAAGTCTCACAATGTGGGGACCTGAAATTAATTTCATATCACAAATGTTAACCAGTGCGCATCAAGTGATGCACGAAAAATAATTTGGTAGTATATATATATATTTTTTTTAAAGTTAGATTAGATACAAATTTTTTAATCAAACGCCAGAGTTCTTTTAAAATAAAATATGCATTTTTTACTCGTGAGAAAATAATATGTCGGTATAATAATAATCAGAATTTAACTCGGCCTAACAAAAACCTAATGAGAAATATTAAAACTAATTAAAACAAGACATCATTCTCAGAAGCCATGTCTGATGAATGATGATAATAATTTTCTTTCTTTTTTTTTTTGGTACAAATAATTTTCCTTCTTTCGTTTGCTTAATTGTTGTGGAACACGTAATTGCTATCTAAATTTTAGAGAGAGAAAAAATATTGATAAAATTAGCTCAAATTCTTAAGAAAGATAATAACATGGGGTAAAAATATGAATAAAAAGTGAAAAATGAAATAAAACGATACAATAAGGAGAATGAGCAAGATATATAATAGATCTAACCTGTTATAGAAAGTAACATGGCAACTGCAAGAACCACTATTGTTACAATGGACTTCATCTGGAATTGAAACAGGGGACCAAATTAAAAGGTCTATATATATATGAAGTGGAAGATATATATGGTTGTGTTATGAGGACTGACGAGTTATATATATATATATATATATATATATATATAGTGAGTATAATATATGAGTCCATTTTGTATAGTGATCTTAATTTTTAACTAGTGCATAGCCCGTGCGTTGCACGGGTAAACAATATCAAATGTTAGTTACAAATTAAAGATGTAAATAAATAATATTAAATAATAATGTAGGTTAACGCGTGATATAATTTACAAATAATGCTAAGGAGCCCACAGTCGAGCATATTTTATTGTAAATAATATAAAATTATCTTGTATAAAAGAACATAAAACATGTATTTGGATACACGCAATTAGTTTTTTTACCGTTAGCAAAAAGATGTGAGTGCAAGTACACGCCGAGCATATTTCCCAAAAAGATGTGAGTGCAACATAGTTTGAAAATTAATTTTTTTACTGTTTGCAAGTACACGACGAGCAAGCATAATAAATATTTAGATACCAGAATTATGATACAAAAACACGTCACGTGAGTACAAAATATATTGGAATTTTTATTTTTTTTTATGTTTAGTAATTTATGCATAATAAATATTTAGATACCCGAATTATCATTAAAAATAACGTACAAAATATTTTTCATTAAAAAAGACGTACAAAATATTTTGAAAATCTATGGCCGAACTACTTATTCAATTAAAATATTATCTTTTTTTTTCTTAGCTATCCACGCCTAGATTTATGTTTATGGGTTGGAGTTATAAAATAATTATTAAGATTATGTTAAGGATAAGCATCACAAAATTTTGTACAAACTGTTTTTGAAAACATGGTTAATACGCTGGCGAGATTCATGCAATTGACCTAACAAATTGAATATTGCATTTAATGCTCCATCTTTTATTTCTATTTATAGTATACAATTAATTTTTTTGACGGGAATTACTTTCTAAATGTAGTAAATAGTAATTCTTATTATATATACTAGTACAGAGCCTGTGCGATGCACGAGGTGCACAATTTTAAGGTTATTTATTCAGACTTATAATTATATGCATGAATACAGAAAAATGTACGGGATATATATAGTACGTGACCCGTGCGAGACACGGGATATATTTATTTGAGGAATACTATATTATAAGATGCAATATTCAATAAAAGTTTTATAATACGCAGAAAAATTGTACAATAAGATAGTATTCGACAAACAAACAATCATATATTATTAAAGACCTCCTTGTACACAACATTATGAGTTTGATTTTCCATACAATAATAATAAGATTTTTTGTAAAAAGATAAGAAGGAATTTCAATCTACACAAACTTTAAACATTAGATGTGTTTACTTAAATCAATGGCTATATAGACAACTAAACCCTTTAATTTAAGCTTGACATCTACTTTATTTATGGGTGACGTAAAATAAGGATTTAATTTTGACCCATTAAATCTTTATTCATAGGCTTGACATATAAAACGGATTTGATGGGATTTTCTTAACTAAACCGATGTTATGGGATAAAACAAATCTATACTTACCTTTGACTTTTCCAACAAATGTAAAAAAATCGGTTCTGATTTTTATCCCATAACAAATCTTTAATGTCAAGCCTATAAATACCAAAACAAATTTGTAATTAATATCATTCTATTTCCAGCAAGCATTAATTACCTTTGACTTTTCTTCCTACTATTTCTAGTAAATAGGATGACTTTTTATATAAGTATAGATTTCATATAATACAAAGACTGAGATCATAAAAATGAATCCTAAAAACTGAAACAATATATTTGCATAATTTAAGGCCATTAAGAAATCAATCTCTAAATCAAATTTGATTTTCAGAATATGTTTTTTTATTTCGAATTCCATACAAAATGGAATTCTTTCCAACCAATAGATGTCATAGCAAATATTAACTCTTAACTATTAGACTATTAGTACATACGGAGCAAATTGTGTACTGATTTTAGAAAGTTAAAATGATTCATGTTAGGTAATTTTACATTTATGCATGTTGAACGGTGGGTTTTAAATATTGTTTCATAGAATGTAAAAGTGTATTATATTATTTTTATGAGATGTTGAATTTGAAAATTAATAGAATTCTTCTTCATATGAATTTTAAATGTAACAATATTCTTTGTTTTACACTATTAATAAAATCTATATTTAAAGTTTATATATTTTTTTTAACCGGAAAAAATTCCTTAATTTAAGGAATCATATATCTTCAATCAGTCCACATCTATATACATTCTTCACAATTTTAAATCTTGAATTTGATGAGAATTCGTATCTATGAGTGCAAAATATGGTTTAACAAATTAATATTTTATTATTATTATAGCCATACTTCTTTCTACAATTTTTTGTGAAAATACAAAAGTAAATTCTTAATTTTAAATCAGCCATACATTAAAGAGTACAAATTTGTTGAAATTACAAAAGTAGTTTTTTACTTTTAAACAGACGTAAATTTAAATCAATCATAAAAAAGTATTATTTGTTTACCATTTAAGGGCAACATTTAATGTTGCTCTATTTTTAGGAGACATTAAATACATTTGGCGGGAAAAACTTGCTAAAAGTGTTAAATGGTTAATCTTTTAATATAATGATAGATATAGATATATGGACAAATTTATATAAGAAATTGTGCCATGAATGTGTATATATTCACTTGAGGAAAATAGAAATTATGATTGTAAGAAAATAATTTTGGCATTAATTGAAAATAATATTCATTTATCATCTTTGTGTTTCTTGCAATCTGTAATATAAAACTAGTGTTTAAAGGGAAATGGAAGATTTTCTTATCTTAATTTTACATATCTTAGTGATTCCCTTACTTTGTATTTGAAATTAACTATTTTTCTTTAGCTTGTAGGATATGAATTATCAATAATGCTAAGGAGCCAAAATGGGACAGCTCCATGTGAGGTTGTCCCACATGACTCCAATGTAGGACAGCCCAACATTAAGTTGTCCCATTGGCTGTTGGCTCCTTAGCATTACTGTATGAATTATATTACAGAATACAAAAAAAGCAAGATGATTTAATAAGAGGAGCTAGATATTTATTACGATAAGAGGAGCTCGATATTTATTACGATACTGCTCACATATTCTCTTTCTTTAGTATAAATATTTTCTTACTATATTTTGTATGGTATATATTAACTGTCTTTCTTTAATTGTATGAAAAGGAAGATGAATGAGATAATAGGAAGAGACTCACGTGAGATTTTGAGAGTTGAAAACATGAGGTTGAGAGCTAAAAAAATTAAGCAAAAAAGGACGAAAATCAAGCATAAAGATATTTCCAAGAATTGCCGAAGAAATAAGGAAGGAAAGTTTCACAATATTGAAAAGAGAGAGAGAGAGAGAGAGAGAGAGAGAGAGAATTAATTTGAAGGATTTGAGCAAGATATTTGTGCATGGTGACTTACAAGATATGTGGATTCAGTTTCAAAGTTGAACGTGAAAATAGTGAAGATTTGGAAACTCTCGATTTCTGATAAATTTATATACTATTTATAGTTTTGTGTATATTTTAATTTCAAGAGTTCTAGTCATAGAGCGAGTTATTCAATTATTCACACAGAGAGATTAGAATATTTACACTGAGTGCTCGTGAGTTTTTTTATTAATGATCTTAGCAAGTCAGTGTACTATATTTGATGATAGGGTAAATAATTTTTTGCATCCTGTACTATACGCGTTTTTGGCTTTTGCAACCTAAAGTTTTTTTTTTTTCATTATTTGCAACCTTTAATACACGTTTTGTCTGTATCGCAACCTAACGGCCATCGGAGTCCATATTCTACCGGAAAAGCGAGCGTGCGACTCGCACGCTCGAAACTTGAGGGTAAGATCGCCTTTTTCTCTGATGTTTGCAGGACATATTTGTCTTTCTATCACTGAACAAATTCCCGTTAAAATCACGGTAAGTGAACAGAGTAAGACGCACGCGAAAATTCTTGGAGACAGCTTGGAGACGATGGCTCAATATTGCAATTGTCGCATGGATGTTGTTACGAAAACGTCGTGGACTGCTCATAATCCAGGAAGGAGATACATTTGTTGCTCGAAGTCACGGGTAAATTTCTGAATTTGGGCAAATTTCAGAATTTGGGGAAATTTCTAATTTCTGAAATTGTTCTCGTAATGCTTAGTTCCCTTTTCCAATGAATCTTGTAGGAGAGTGGTGATTGGTCATTTTTTATCTGAAATTTACTCTAATTTGTGATTTGGGCAAAAATAGTGAACCCTAAATTCTGAATTTGGGCAAAATTATTGAACCCTAATTTATTAAATTGATCTCGTAGAATTGAGTTCCCTTTTCTAATGATATTTGTAGGAGGATGGTCATTGTTCCTTTTTTTTTCTGAAATTACCCTAATTTTTGAATTAGGGCTAAATTAGTGAACCCTAATTTCTGAAACTGGGCAAAATTATTCAACCCTAATTTCTTAAATTGATCTCGTAAATTTAAGGTCCCTTTTCTACTGAATTTTGTAGGAGGAGGGTGGTTGTACATTTTGGATGTGGATTGAACCACCATTGTGCCCTAGAGCTCGTGAAATCATTCCAGGGCTTTTGAAGCGTGCCAACAAATTTGAAAGCGAAACTCAAATTCTTGAAGCAGATGTGATGAGGTTGGAAAATGATATGAAGATGCTTCAATCAGATATAAAGGAGGCCGAAGCATGTATTGAAGCTATTAAGGAAGAAATGGCTGAAATGGAATTGTGCTTGAAGAGGAAGAGTGTTCGGGAGCGTTGGATGTGGATTGTAATTATGATCTCTTGGTTAATCATGTATTGCATGATGTAGATTTTTCAGCTTTTAGCTTTGTGTTGTTAACTCTTTTGGTCCTCTTTTGGTTGATCAAACTATTTTGGTTTTGGTTCAAACTATTTTGGTTTTGGTTGTTCACTAAATGTGGCTCAGTCATTGTAAGATTATGTATGTATTGAATGATGTAGATTTTTCAGCTTTTAGCTTTGTGTTGTT